CATGCGGATTTTCAACTTCAGAGTGTGTTGCTCCCCTCCCTCCATCCATAATTGAAGGAGTGAAAGTCTGATGAATTTTCATGAGAGAAATTTAAATGCCAGAATGCGGTTCTGAAGCCTGATGCACTTGCCCAAAGCATGGACAAGCAGACACTCACTTAGACAACAAGGAGTGCAGGAGAGACAGGAAGAGAGGGGACAAGGGAAGGAGATTAAAATGATTCAGAATGGTAGGAACACAGAGCTGTTTGCTTCCATGAAATCAGGAGATTCCATCTGGACACTTCTTTACAGCTCTGAGTTTCTTTGATCTGAGATATCAAAGTGCTAGTTTGCTTAATGGTGCCAGGGTAGCGCTATACACAGAGGAAAGTGACTGCTTCTGTCATCAGCTGTACCCTTGTCTGGGAAGAAAGAGAAAGATATACAAAATTGAAGACTTCTTCGTATTATTATTCATGAAAACTTAGACCTCAATTAACTGCCTAGTTTCCTTTGTGTGAAGCAGAAGTATCAGCAGTGCCTGACAGCAACATCACCTACTAGAAGAAGAATCAGAAGACAAATTATAGTAGTAATAGAGCCTGTGGGGCAGGGGATGCTTTCTTATTATTATTTTGGTAGAAGGGTAGAATGACTTCCACATTCCTCACGAGGAATAAGTCACTTCCATGACTTTGGGCTCACTTACATAAGACTCTTGAAGAACTTTATACCAATGAGTTCTTGGATATTTTATGTTTCCACTCTATGCTGCCTGCTGCAAATGCAGAGGAGGTTTACATCCGTTCACTTTCCCAGCAGCTCCTTTGCCAGGGTGCAGAGGTATCTGCTCTCGCTCAGAACCAGAGAAAAAGCTTCCCTTTCCTTGGCCTCATTGCCATGTCCTGTGCCTCCAGTTTGGCACACAACTGCAGCCCTACGCAGCAAGCTGCCATGCTCTGAGTTCAAACCTGGGAAAAAGCAACACAGACTCACTCATGTTGTTCCAAGTTAAAGCCATATCCCAAGTGATTGCATGTACTTGATTGCAACAGCCTTTCTAGGAAGGAAAAGACACTGAGCTGGCTAGAGTAGCTGCAAGTATTATCAGCAGACAGTCTAAGTCTATGGAAAAGCACCATGTAGAAGTCCTCATTTGTCTGCACAGGAATAGTTCCAGCTTCTGTTTCTCCCACTTCAGCATTAAGGTGAACCTATATCTAACTCTGCTTAGTAAAAGTCCTTTATACACCATCAAGTAGTCATGACAATTACACTTCCTTCAGTCCAAAGGTCCAGGAAATCAAGCTGAATGATAGATACTAATGGGGCTATAATTCTCCAGTGGCATCTGCAGCACAAAGCAAAGAACAAAGTCTCAGCAATGCCATGTTCTACCATTAGCTCTTTTTTCCCTAAAGATAACCATCAAAATGTGAGCAAAGGGAAAAGAGATTGTAATACCTATTAAAAAAGAAAAAGAAATTAATGATGAGATATTGGTCTGAACCTATTTCAGGTATATGATTCATTACTTCTGAAGCTAAGTTTTCAAACAGTTTAGAAGTCTCTGCTATCACCATGTGAATGGTGAAAGAGGAAGAAAAGGAAAAGGATGAAAAAAAAAAGACTTTTAATAACACAGTTGAGCACCACCATTTTTAATCCCTCCTTTACATTATGTTCAGGCTTATGACATGCTTCATAAGGAGAGCTCTGCCCTGAGGCATCAAATTGTTCGCTGGTTGTTGAAAAGAAGGTATTTATGCCACCCGGACCTGCTCCCTTTTCCTGAGTCTTTGAGAAACTTGCAGAGTTTTCTAAAACGCCCTGAAACACCTACGAATTTGTTAAAGATTACCTAGCAGATATTTGCAGATTTCACGCAATTGTCAATCTCAGGTTCTTGCATGAATCTAGTGAGATATCCTGGTGACTGCATCATTCCTTCCCAGTCTATAAGGACGACATTCTTGCATTGTAACAACCCTAACTTCACATCTTTAATGTCTCTTTTCTAGGCCTCTCCTTTCCTTTCTTTTTTTTTTTTTTTTGGTCCTAGAAAGAGTCAGAATGTATAACATTAAATTTAGCTCTACTATTAAGTTTTAGATAGGCTTTCTTCAGAGCGTAGGATAATTAAATTGTGATGCAAGAATCTTGAAGTGTTCTTCTTAAGGTTCATCTGGAAAAATAGAGGCACGAGCAATTAGAAGACAAACTATTTTAAAAACCTACTATATAGTTTTTCTGTTATTAGTTAGTTTTCTGTTATGTTACACCTCACTCATCACAGATCTACAAAATATCTCAAAATTTTTTTTTGGCCATATTTCAAGCTTCAGCATCTTGCTTTCTCCTTCCCACATTTACCAATTTTATCCAGACTAGAGCTTAGGAGAGGTCTCTTTTTATACACGGTCAAAGAACATCTTCATGGAGACCTCTAGACAGTCACCAAAGCTACCTCCTCTACATTCTTGAAGCTTCATTTGCTATACCTGTCCTGAAGAACTGCTAGACTACTAAGAAATTTGCTCCTGACCCTAAACTGTAAGGAGATTGGACAGGGAGCTTGTAGCATTAATCCCAGCTCCACTCAGAGGTGTGTTCAGACGCTAAGCCTTCCAAATAGCTTTTAAAATGTTTGGGGGGGTTTGTGAATTTTCCAACCTTCTTTTCTACCATCCTACAATCAACCTCAAAGTTTTAACTCATGCTGATACTAAAGCCCAAGGACATATGTTGGGTTTCTCAGGGAAAGTCACCTGGTTGGGAGACAGTCACCTACTGACTTCCGCTGCTGGCTCCAAGAAATAAAAAGAAAGAAAGAAAGGAGTCAGGCTGTTTTTAGATGTTGGCATGGGAGTAGATATAAGAATATAGCTGAATATACCCACACTTGAAAAACTGCCAACCGTAACAAATGCCATTACATCACAGCCTTGTGTGGGTTCTGGAAGAAGCTCAAGGGAGCTACTGTTCCAAAGAAAAGTTTAGGTTAGGGCCATATTTCTGACAGTATTTTCCTCTGCCCTTCATACAAATAGTTAAGTGGTTATTCTCAGATATAATGGGCATAGTTTCTGAAAGTATTACGTATACTTTAAAAAATAAATTCTTGGAGGAGGATAGCTGTGAAGTATTCTAAGAACTCCTTACCCCATCTTCCATTTCCCTTCTCTGTCCTGCCTCAAAAAACTTGCATGCTATATTAAGAATTTTTTTCAAGAAAAAAAAAAAAGAGGTGGATATGTATGTGCACACATACACACGCCTAGCACCTTCCTTTGAAGACCATTTCCAAGAAAAATTGTTAATTTATTTGGTTATAAGAAGGTAGTGTTGTTCAAGTGTTTGTGGTCAGGGAAGTGGATATTTTTCTAGTCAAAGAACAATGATGATCATATATATAAACATTCTTCTAAAAGCAGAGGTTAGTTAAATTGACCTTCTTCCCTAGAGCATTAGCCCTCAGCACTTGTGTGAAGCAAGATAACAAGGGTCTACACAGACTAGCCCTTATGCAAAAAGTGTTCTCTGCAGAGGCAATGCTTAATTTTCAAAGTAGACAGAGAACAAGTTCCAGACCTTCAAATGTCTGCCCAGGAAAAAAATGCTTCTGTGTAACTAACGTGTTCTATAGTCACAATAAATTACATGTCTACAAACAAAATGCAAGAGGGGAAGAGACAAACTTTCACATTAATGAACAGGAATACCACGAAAAGGATCATTTTCTCAAGGTGGAGACTATTAAGCACACTTAATAGAACATCTGCAAGATCCAGCCTTCACCCTTCTTCCCCATTACTTTCCTCTTTCCCCTTACTTCCCCAACCCCATTTACATTTTGTGCCAATATATTCCCACTCATTCCTCTGCTGTAAAAGCTAATAATCTTTCCCTGCCCTTCTTAGTCTAACGCTACTAACCTTTCTTTGGTGTTGTTAATAAAACTCCTCCGTACTTTGTTCTTTACCTCCACATAGAGGCCTCTGTTGAATGGGCTATGACAGCTTCAACACTTTATGGGAGAGTAGCTAAATCAGTACCTATCAGTTGTGCACACATAGATAGTGTTATTCTCCCTTCAATTCCAACACAGTGCAGTAAAGGGTTGATTTTATTGATGCATGCTATACAGTTGCACAATAGTGAAGAAAGCTGGTCTTTGAGGTGCCATTTCAGACAGCTGTACAAGTATGTTACTACCCTGCATCTTCTCTTCCACTTTTCCATCCCTCCTTGTGTAGCAGAGCTCTTCACAGAGCTTCTAGAAGATGAAGTAAGCAGCATTTGACCCCAGCACTTCAGCATGGCCCAGCTTCATCCATATGCACACCTGTGAAGATAAAGGCCTCCACAAAAACGCAATTTTAGAACAGCATTAAAGCTCTTGCCTTTAGTTTGCTTCAGCCTTCTCTTACTTCTGCAGGTTGTGCTCTTTTAGACCCACATTTCAGCAAGTAGACTGGACCTCAGTGGGGTCTGAAGGAGCATGTGGGAAGGCTGTAGTGCTCTGCATAGAGAATACATCTTCTCATGCAAAAAGTCACACCCATACTCCCCAGACCTTAACATTGGGTCACTTGTTCCACTTCTAAAACTTAGGTAATACATATTGTCTTTGCACTTCACTGCAGTCAAAGACTTCTGGAGGCATGTGCGTGTGACAGGGGGGGCGGACACTGAGTAAAAAGCTGCCAGTATAGGTCACAAGTCACTTGCATGAACAAGTCTCTTCCCTGAAGAGACTGGCTCTTCCCTGACTTGGCTGAATGCCACAGCTTAGCTCTACACAGCCTCTGCTGACACAGGAAGCAAGGGTGGTTAAGCCAATTTACACCTAGATAGCCCAGGCTCCGGGGTTTGACTCCAGGCTGCAACACAGAGCCATACAACTGAAAGAAAGTACTTTCTGAAATTAGTTGAAGCAAAAAAAAAAAAATTCAAGGTCTGAATAGCTTCACATGTATTTTTTGTTCCCCAACACTTTTCTTCCTCTTTGGCTCTCTTCATAAATCCCAGGAAACTCCTCCTGACAGTTGAGTGGTGTTAGCATTGACAAATGCTTTGCTGTAGTCTTCATCATGCCCTTCAGAGGCAGTCAGAGCATCCGAGGGCTCTCGGCTTTCCACATATCCTGACAATGAAGTAACCGTGATAAAGCCCCTGGGCTCTTCTGATTCCACTTGTGACATGCATTCTGTGAACAAACACTCAGTTCAGTGATAAAAGCATCAACAGAAGTGAGCAAGAGCTTTCTACAAA